TGTGTAGCATTTATAAATATACCATGTTTCACTTACCCATTTATCTATTGATTGGTATTTGGATTATTTCTAATTTGAGCTGTTATTAATAGTGTTGCTATGAACATTTCTTGTAGATGTTTTTTGAACATGTGTACACATTTCTATTGGTGTATGTACTTAGAAGTGGAATTGCTGTGCATACATTCAGCTTATATAGATACTACCAAATATTTTTCCAAAGTGATTGTACCATTTTACACTCCCACTAGCAGTGTATGAGAGTTCTGGTTGCTCTGCATCTTTGCTAACACTTCCGTGTATGTGTGCGTAAGGGGGTACATGATCTTTAACTATTTCATTTTTTATTTTTAATTTTTATCTTTTTAAGATTTATTTAGTTATTTGAGAGAGAGAGTATGATCATGAATGGGTGATCTGTGTTACCCAGGTGCCCCTTTAAACTTTTTAAAATATGATATTTGGTTCCATTTCATGTGTAGTGAGTCTTCTTTCTGTTCTCCACAAGACTATGAGCTCCTTGAAGATAGGGATTGTTTGTATCCTAAAACCTGACACAAAGACTGGTATATTATGGGCATTTAATAAAGATGGGATGAATGATGTATGTATTCATGGCATGTATGTAGATAAAGACAAGAAGGAAATGTAGGGAATAACCATATGAGTGAGTGGTTGGGTTTGTTCATTCAATAAATATTTGAGTATTTCCCATATCTAACATACTGTATTTGATTTTGGTAATATGCCTAGTTTCTATCCTTGTGGATCTTTATGGTAGTGGTGATAGGAAATAAGCAAGTTTCATAAATATATAATTGTACGTTATAATGAGTACTATGAATGAAATGAACAGGCTACTGCTATCATAAAGAATAATGGGATGATAAGAAACTATTTTAGATAAAATGACCAGAGAAGGTCTTTTTGAAAAGGTGAAATTTGAGTATCTCAGGGTAATTTTTTTTCTTTTACAAAAAGTTGTTTATTGGGATCTTTTCAGTTTTTTTTTTTTTAAGATTTTATTTATTCATAAGAGAGAGAGGCAGAGATACAGGCAGAGGGAGAAGCAGGCTCCATGCAGAGAGCCCGATGTGGGACTCGATCCTGGAACTCCAGGATCACGCCGTGGGCCGAAGGCAGGTGCTAAACCCCTGAGCCACCCAGGGATCCCATCTTTTCAGTTTAAATGAAGGAAAAATTGATGTCTTTAAAGGTCAAGGGAATCTATTTTGGGGGGCAAGAACATTTACAAAAGAGTAAAAATATATATTTATAGATATGTGCAGGGATGGGGAAACTAGTTATTGTTTTTGGTATTAGATACCTAGGTACTCTAGTGGTTCAAATAGTGTTAAATATTAACTCATGAAACTAATGGTAGGACAAAAATACAGCAGTTGGTGAGACAATCATACAGGAATCCATTGGTTACTCCTGGATTATGGGAGAAGAGAAGGATCATGTAATCTAGTAAAAGAGAATTTGCCCCAAAGCTCAGCAAGTTGAAATGGTTGTCCGTTGTTCTTTGAACCTATTTAAGTGCTTTGTATTTTACAAAGATGAACCATTACATTGATGTATTTGATGTGTGTTCTGTGTTTAGTCTTTGTTTAATACCTAAATTGAAGCGTAAGTTCCCTTGGGACTGACCAGGAGAATCCTAACTAATTTTTATACTCTTAACTTGGAAAGAAAAGTAAATAATAATTGTTAATTAGAAATTCTATTTTTCCCTCTTTAGGATTAAAGAAAAAATTCATTTTCATTTTATATGTCCCTCTTGGAATAAACTAGAATTGAAGGGATAACCCTCCTTCTGTTCCCTCACCCCTTTTTTGGGTAAAGGTAATATAACATTACTGAGAATGTGGAAATTATTCCTAAATTCATCCATAATTCTATGAACCTAACAAACTGACCGCTGAGCCACCTGGGCGTCCCGGTCTTGATTTTAATACCAACCTAATACTGTTATGGTGAGGATTAAATAAGGTAATATATGTAAGGCACTTGGCATATATAACCTGGCACATGATAATTGTAAATAATGGCTATTTTATTGCCAAAGTGCATTCAAGTGCAATGTGAACATAAAAGGAAGGCAATTCTTATCTGAACAACAATGATATGCGTGGGGACACCTGGGTGGCTCACTGGTTATGAGTCTGCCTTCTGCTCAGGGTGTGATCCTGGGTCCTGGAATCGAGTTCCGCATTGGGCTCTTTGCAGGGAGCCTGCTTCTCCCTCTGCCTATGTCTCTGCCTCTCTCTCTGTATCTCTCATGAATAAATAAATACAAATCTTTAAAAAAACACCAAACAATGATGTGAGTGATGATGGGAGCTTCTATTCATTATTTCGTGAAAGGTACTTTACATGTATTATCTTCTTTAATCCTCCCTACATATGAGGTTCAGTAAGTTGCTCATGGCCACCCAGATTGTATGTAGCAAAAGTAGGCTTTAAACTTAAAAACTGACTATTTAGTCTTTTCCCCACATATACCAACCACACTGCTACTAATATTTAGGTAGGTCTTTATTGCAATTGTAGTTCCTAGAGTTGACTCAGATTTATTTAGTTCCAGGTTTCCAGGACCAAATCCTTTGATTTATTCAGGTATCCAAGAGATATTTATTGAGTCCCTGCATAGGTGCCCATCTTGGATTCTTTTGGTGATCAGATCACCAGGAACTAGGTTAATCAAGATTGGGAAGATTCTATAGTTCTTACTTTGAAACAGCTCTACTCAGATTAACGGTCTAATGAATGCTCTCTGTTGCTTACATTTGTTTTTTTTTTTAAATCCCCCAGTGGTCCCCGATGAGCCATTTCTTAGGATGTGGTAGATCAGAACAGATTCCTGGAGTAGGTGTACAGTGGAGTAGGAAGTATCACACCACAAATAAGGTGAGAATTATTAGTGCTTTCTACAGGCTGCTTTCACACAGGTGTTCTTATTTGAATCTCAGCAAAATTGTTATTTGGATGAGGCAAGGAATTTTATTGAATGCACAAGGTGAGGCTAATGGAAATGAAGTGACTTACCCAAGGTCACAAGGATAAGTGACAGACCAACTGAATATTTGAATCTACAGCTTCTGATCCTATGTCCTATATCTCTTCTTGTACTGTCTTGCTTGGAAAACACTTTAGAGAAAAAAATTGTTATGGATTTCATATGTTAAAAGTAATGTAAAAATTTTTATATGTTAAGACATATTATATGTTTAAAGTAATATTTAACTTCTGGAGAATTTCTTATTGATTATATAGCCTGCCTTCATTTGGAGAGGCCTAGCATTAGGATAGGTTTTTCTTGGAGTCTATTTGCAAACAGGACTCATATTTTCAATAGTCATTAATAAAATGTGTTATACTAAAAAATATGAGTTTATTTATTTATTTTTAAAAAGATTTTATTTATTTGACAGAAAGAGAGAGAGAGCAAGCATGATCAGGGGGTAAGGGCAGGTAGAGAGGGAGAAGCAGACTCCCCACTGAACAGGGAACCTGATGCAGGGCTTGATCCTAGGACCCTTTGATCATGACCTGAGCCAGAGGCAGATACTTTACCAACTGAGCCACTGAGGTACCCTAAACAATATGAGTTTAGGAACATTTATTCAGGGCTTGCTTTAGTTGATTATGATTTTGAATAACTTTTGACTGCTTTCAGACAATAGTTTTCTTTCCTTTTCCTGTTATGTCAAAACCATAGAGCTTTCCTTTTCTCAGAATTCTTTGGGAAATGAGGGTCAAGATTTACTTTTAAAAGTACTCTTTTCCATAGCACTTTTTTTTTTCCATAACACTTTTATTCTGATAGCCCAAATCTGTCATTTCCTAGATATGGGTTCATAGGAATATGGTTAATGAGATGGGTCTGAAATTTGAAGGACACCTATTATGTGGAGTTCCAGATGTATTTGCACTGAGTAATAAGATGCCCAGAAAAATGAGAATTAGAAATTCTAGGTAAAAAAAAAAAAAAAAAAATTCTAAGCAATAAAAAATGCCCTTAGACCTAATAAGAAACAAAAGCATTCTTTTTTTTTTTTTTTTAATCAGATTATAGGGATACCTGAGGGGCTCAGTTAAGCATCCCAACTCTTTTTTTTTTTTTTTTTTAAAGATTTTATTTATTCTTGAGAGACACACAGAGAGAGAGAGGCAGAGACACAGGCAGAGGGAGAAGCAGGCTCCATGCAGGGAGCCCAACGTGGGACTCCATCCTGGGTCTCCAGGATCACGCCCCAGGCTGCAGGCGGTGCTAAACCGCTGCGCCACTGGGGCTGCCCAAAAGCATTCTTTTTTTTTTTTTTTTTAAAGATTTTTTTAAAGATTTTATTTATTCATTGGAGAGAGAGAGAGAGAGAGAGGTAGAGACACAGGCAGAGGGAGAAGCAGGCTCAGTGCAGGGAGCCTTGATGTGGGACCTGATCCCGGGACTCCAGGATCAAGCCCTGGGCCGTAGGCAGGCGCTAAACCACTGAGCCACCCAGGGATCCCCAGCATTCTTTTTTTTTTAAATTATTTTTCAGGATGCCTGAATGGTGTAGTTGGTCAAGTGCCTGACTCTTGGTTTTGGCTCAGGTTGTGATCCAGGGGTTGTGAGATTGAGCCCTACATTAGGTTCTGCACTCAGTAAGGAGTCTGGTTAAGACTTTCTCTCCTTGAAAAAAAAAAAAAAAACTTTCTCTCCTTGGGCACCTGAGTGGCTCAGTTGGCAAAGCCTCTGCCTTTGGTTTAGATCATGATCCCAAGGTGCTGGGATCAAGCCTCGGTGTGGGGCTCCTGGCTTAGAGGGAAGTCTGCTTCTCCCTGTCTCTCTGCCCCTCCCCCTGCTTGTGTGCATATATGCTCTCTCTCTCAAAAAAAAAAAAAAAAAAAAGATTTTCTCTCCCTCTGCCCCCCCTTCTATAAAATAAATAAATAACTCTTTAAAAAAAACTGATTTTGCAACTAATTTTGTCCCCTTCTTTTTGATTAAATAGCTTTCTACTACCAAGGATTCCCCACAGCCTGTTGAGGAGAAGGTTGGTGCCTTCACGAAGATAATAGAAGCCATGGGATTTACAGGACCTTTGAAATACAGTAAATGGGTAAAGTCTTTTAAAATTTTTCTCATTTTCTTTTTGGGCTTTGTGCCTTCTGCTCCTCATAGAACATTTTTTAAAGCTTCTGCTTTGCTTTTGTGAAATTCATACATTTTCAGAACTTTGAAATGTATTGTGTCCGCTTCCTGCCACACCCTCCCCATCCCCAACTCCAAGTCAGATCTATGTATTTGTGGGTCTGGAGTACTCTCTCTGTTCCCTTAACCTGATTCCTTAAAAGTGTCTCAGTACAAGTAAGCCAATAAGACTGGACTTTCCAGGCTCTTGCTACATGATATTCCATACAAATGAGTGCCAAGGAAGTAGATGGGTAGGTAGCATTCTTATGGAAATATTACTCACTGATGAATCCATATTCATAAGTGATTTTTTTACTAGGTCATTGTAGTGACTTTTATTAAAATTTTACTAATAAGCATTTTTTAAATTAATCAATTCTGCAATTTATTGTAATTCTTATTATGGAGAGATATTTGCTAGCTGTGTCATTCCTAGTCAAGTCTTGGTCTACCACATTATTTGCTTTATAGTAGTTGCTATAAATGAATGACTATCTTCTCTGCATCAGGTATCTATTGCCCCTGGGTTTTTATAACAATGCCTCTAACCAATTAAAGTAATAAACTGTTAGCCCAGTTATTTCCTGGTGCTAGCATTTCTCTCTACCTTTATAGCAGAAGTGCCTTTTAATGCTTTTCAAGGTTGCTAGAATGTTGAATGAGCCTAATCAGTCATAAGTTATATGTTAAAGCAAATCAACAGGGGATCCCTGGGTGGCGCAGCGGTTTGGCACCTGCCTTTGGCCCAGGGCGCGATCCTGGAGACCCGGGATCGAATCCCACGTCGGGCTCCCGGTGCACGGAGCCTGCCTCTCCCTCCTCCTGAGTCTCTGCCTCTCTTTCTCTCTATGCCTATCATAAATAAATAAATAAATCTTAAAAAAAAAAATAAAGCAAATCAACACAAAGCAGTAGGGAGGACTTTTCTAGAAAACATCATAGCTTTGCCCCAAATGATCAAATAATGCCAGTTATACAATTTTAGCAGGATGGATTCAAATTAGAATTTCAGTTTTAATATAGACTTTACATGTAGTTTCCTCTTGCAGTATCTAGTTTTCTTTCTGAATTCTCACTGCAGCAAGTATAGGCTTCTCTCTCTAATCTCTTTTGACATAAATTCTGAAAAGCAAATGGGGATTCCACAAGCATTTATTTTTAAGAGACTTTGAAAAGTCTAAAAGATAACACATATATTGGTAATAATGATGTTCTTGAGACCCTAAGATTACGAAGTGCCTTTTTAATCGTCAGTGAAATATTAGTTATATTCACTGAAGTTATCTTTTTTACATCTTAATCTTTGGGCAAATGATAATCCATTGGTATGTCTGGTAATGTTTTTAACAAGAATATTTTCCCTTATTAAAAAATGTTTGTGATTATGGCATTTGGATTCAACAACTTAAAATATGTGTTTTGTTTGAAAATTAGAAATTAATTAAAAGAAAAGGGAAATGAGAGCAGAAAGGGAAAAAAAAAGGAAAAATTTACTGTTTTATTCATTTCTTGATGGTTGAGTTCCACTTGGTTGCTACCATTGCTTTGTCTAGTCTGTTTTTTTTATGATTCCAGAGGGAAAGTTGGCTACCATTTGGAGGATTACTAAATCATCAGGAAAATTTCTTCACTGTTGTAGTTTAAGTTAGCCTTTTGATTTTTCTTGGTTCCTTTGTGACCTCAACTAAGTGCTTAATATTTGCATTTTAAAGGGCTTTGTGGTATGGCAGTATCTTCCTTCTGTAACCTTCATTTTAAAATTTGTGACATCAGGGATCCCTGGGTGGCGCAGCGGTTTGGCGCCTGCCTTTGGCCCGGGGCGCGATCCTGGAGACCCGGGGTCGAATCCCACGTCGGGCTCCCGGTGCATGGAGCCTGCTTCTCCCTCTGCCTATGTCTCTGCCTCTCTCTCTCTCTGTGACTATCATAAATAAATAAAAATTAAAAAAAATAAATAAAATTTGTGACATCAGAACATCAAAATATGATGTTCTAGTATAATTTGAGTGGAAAACATAGGTATAACTTTGCATTTTGAAAGATTATAAGCCCTTTTCAGCAAATGATGACTTAGATATCTGTGACTAGACACTTGTATTGGATTGCACTGGAAAGATCCTTTGAGTTTTGTATTTTCACATGTCTTTCATTAGGAAGTAAAATCTGCTTGACATCAGCATTATCAACCATCTCTCCTCCATTTTTTCCTGTAACATTTTCATATGTAGTTTCATTTTTCTTCTAGATTCTTATTTAGGAATTTAAATGTAGCTTTTCCTTACCTGTTTGTCCTGAAATAACCATTCTTTTCCGTTATCTTTTGTAGCAACATCCGGTAAGACAAGGACAACATTTGCCCGGTTCAGTCACATGTCATAGAATAGGCAGTTTCCAGATTAGCATAAAGCCAAAAATTATTTCTGTTCTGAAGGACACTTACAAACTAGAATGCATTCAGAAGTGGGCAGTGAGCCTTGTGAAGGCTTCAGGAATCATATTGAGTGAAGAGTGGTTGAAGAAAATAGGGATGCTTACCCTGGAAAAAAGAGGTGATGGTTCTTCTCAGGTATTTGTAAAAAAAAAAGAAAAAAGAAAAGAAACTTAATCTAAGGTATTCCACAGGGCAGTGGATATTTCATGAATGTTACATGAAGCAGATTTACATTCAATAAAACAAAAATCTAACAAGAATTGTCCTTCAGGGGGATAGGTAACCTCACAAGGTCATTGGACTTGTTTGAACAGTGGCCCAGATGGTTGACTGAGAACCAAAAATGCTGTAGAAGGAATTCCAGTATGGAATAGAAGGTTCAAATGACTTCAAAGCCCCTCCAACTCTCACACAGCTGTTAGTGCAAACCTTTTACTACGTTCATTTTTCATCTTGTAAGATGGCACAAGATGCAAATGTCAGTGGGAGAGCTGATTTTCATTTCTTAAAGCTGTCTTAGGTGCTTGTGTTTTCATCAGGGACACTGATGAAGTCTTCCAGAGTTAGAATGAAATAAACATGAAGTCATCTGAGAACCAGAATAATTTGTATTGACTGGGTGGAATTTAGTCCACCCACCTCTTTAACTTATATTAATGCATGAATCTTGGAAGAAGTTCTTTCCCCAAGTTGTTATTTCCAGTCCCTCTGTGATGGTCTTAGGGGACTTGCTTTAGACATTTGTCCAGGAAAATGGCTCACCCAAGTATAAAGGCTTGGCTTCACTGCAGGAAAAGTGAGGAACTATAAAATGCTTCTGATTGCCACATTTTGAACACTGTATAAATACACTAGCCAGTCTAGTGAGGTCTTTATTATTTGTAATGAAGGCTTTCTTCATAAACATGTTGTGGTGGGAAAAACCTTTTCAAGAGAAGATTTGGGTCCTGGTGGCAAATCTGTCTTTCTCAGGCAGAATGAACCTAGAGGACTCTATATTAGAATCAAGGAAACTGCAGAGTTAGAAAAAAAAATTTAAAAAATAGGCCATTAGGAATTTTACTTAAAAGTGTAAATGTGGGGGCACTTGGGTGGCTCAGTGGTTAAGGATCTGCCTGTGGCTCAGGTCATGATCCTGGTGTCTTAGGATCAAGTCCTGCTCAGCAGAGTCTGCTTCTCCCTCTACTTTTCCCCCTGCTAGTGATCTCTTTCTCTCTCTTTTTTTTTTTTCTCTCTCTCAACTAAATAAATAAAATATTAAAAAAAATAAGATAAAATTGTAAATGTGTTGACATTTATATACCAGTACCCATATTTGACAGATAATTAATTTTTGCCATATTTGCTTTAGTTTTGTATTTTCCAGGATAAACTTTTACAGAAAAAATCCAGCCCATTTCTCCTTTCTTCTCTTTCTTCCTCCACCAAGATAATTACCATTTTAAAGTTGGTTGTTATTCCCTTGTAAATTTTTGTTCTTCTACCACTCATCTTTTTATCCATAAACAATATATATACCATTATATATTGTGTTCATAAAAACTATATATTTCACTTTTCAACCTGTTTTTATTAGTCAACATTATGTTTTTGAGTGGTGATCTGATTTTTTTCATTTCAACTGCTGAATAGCTTCATATCATATAATTAAAGTACAGTTTAACTATTCCTGTACCAAAGACAGTAGTTTTAGCTTTTTCATAATGACAGAACCTTTTAGGTTGTACAGGAGTTTTTTGAGAGAGAGAGATGGAGTTACTGGGTTCTAGTCTATGAATATTGTTAAGTGTATTAAATTATTCATCAGTTTTATCAATTTATATGTCCATCAGAGTTTAAAGGTTCAGTATCATTTCCAACACTTGATACTGTCAAATTGTTTAATATTTACCAATTAGATGATGCGAAATGGCACTTTTTATTTAATTTGCATTCCTCTGGTTACTAGTAATGTTGAGTGTCTTCTCATGTTTTTTGGCAAAAAAAAAAAAGTATCAATGTTTCTATAGCTGAAATAGGCTGTAAGCTTCATGAAAACAGAATAGTTTTTGACTTTTTATTTACTGCTCTATTCCTAATATCCAAATCCATTTCAGGCATGGAGTTAGGTACTCAATAAATTATTTTTGACTGAAGTGAAGAGTTAACAGATGTCCTAAACTCCCTGTCTCGAGGATAGAAATAGGCCTGTCAAAGCCAAAGCATTGGGATAATGATATTAGGATATCTATCATTAGTTTGATGATGGTGCAGACCAGTACTTCCCAAAATGACTTCTGTGTCAAATGCTTTCTAGAGCTGCAGATATATATATTTTTTTTAGAGCTGCAGATATTAATAAAGTTAAAAGGCTTCTTTTTTAGCCTGCTAATATGGTGAATTACATTGATTTTTAAATGTCCAATCAGCTTTGCTTTCTAGGGATAAATCCCAGTTGGTCGTGATTTATTGTCCTTTTAAAATATTGCTGGATTTGATGTTAATATTTGTTAATGTTAAGGATTTTTACATCTATACTCATGAAACTATGGTTCTATAATTTTAATCTCTTCTGATGACTTTGGTTTTGATATCAGTAATATTTGCCTTATAGAAAGAACTAGGAAGTGTTCTTCCCTCTTGTTTTTTGGAAGAGTTTATGTAGATGTAATATCATTTCTTTAGATGTTTGATAGAAACATTGAGGGGATCCCTGGGTGGTTTAGTGGTTTAGCACCTACCTTCGGCCCAGGGAGTGTGATCTTGGAGTTCTGGGATGGAGTCCCACGTCGGGCTCCCTGTATGGAGCCTGCTTCTCCCTCTGCCTGTGTCTCTGCCCCCCTCTCTCTCTTTCTCTGTCTCTCATGGATAAATAAATAAAATCAAAAAAAAAAAAAAAAAAAAAAGAAACATTGAGTGATGTTTGGTGATGCCATTGAGTGTGTTTTCTTTGGAGAGAGGTTTGTTTTGTTTTGTTTTGTTTTTACCACATTAAAGAAACCCCATTGGGATCCCTGGGTGGTGCAGCGGTTTGGCGCCTGCCTTTGGCCCAGGGTGCAATCCTGGAGACCTGGGATCGAATCCCACGTCGGGCTCCCGGTGCATGGGGCCTGCTTCTCCCTCTGCCTGTGTCTCTGCCTCTCTCTCTCTCTCTCTCTCTCTCTCTCTGTGACTATCATAAATAAATTAAAAAAATTAAAAAAAAAAGAAACCCCATTTCTTTAATAGTATAGGACTATTCATGTTATTTATTCTAGGAAGTTTTGGTAGTTTGTGTTTTTCTCAAGGAATTTGTCTATTTGCTCTAGTAATTGAATTTATTGTCCTAAAGGTGTTCATAATCATCCCTTTATTATTCTGTGAGTATCTTTTGGATATATTGTGATACCCTCTCTGGTTCTTGATGCTGCTAATTTTTTTTTAAAGATTTTATTTACTTATTTGACACTGAGAATGAGAAAGAGAGAGCAGGAGAAGGGGGAGGATCAAAGGGAGAAGAAGACTCCCTACTGAGTGCGAGCCGGATGTGGAGATGCTTAACTGACAGAGCCACCTACTTGCCCTGATACCACTAATTTTTATCTTCTCTCTTTTTTTCTTTTCTTCCTTGATCAGTTCTATTAGCGTTTTATTAATTTTACTGGTATTACTAAGGAACCAGCCTTGGCTTCTTTGATTTTCTGTTTCCAATTTTATTGATCTCTGTTTTTTATTATATCTCTGCCTGCTTTTAGGTTTAATTTGCTCTTCTTTTTTAGTGTCTTACTGTGGGTTTTGTTTAAATTGGCTTCTAATGCTGATTTATTCCCATGTAAATATATTTATTTTTCAGTTGTTATGTGTTTATTTTCCCCTATATGAGCTTTACTTTAAAAGCCTTGAAAACATAACAGACCTCAAATTAGCAAAGAAAAAACCTTAATTACAATTAGAGACATAACCCTTTAATTTATTCTGGGTACTTCTGCCTAGAGACACTGTTGTTTTGACTGTAGAATGTATTGAGAAATGAGCATTATATAGTATTGGATATAGTATATTTTTGGTGACTTTGAACCTTAATAATATAGCTTTACTAAAATTCTAGATTGTTTTTTCTTCAGTTGGTATCATATTCTCAGTTTGTGCATGTTTTTTAGTCTGCATATTTGAGTTTGTAATTTTCTATCATTTTACGAAAAAAATAAGCTGCTATAAGCCTTTTGTGGATGGGCTCATTTATTTAATTGTATCCTTAAGGAAATATTTTGAAAGTCCTTAGAAATGCTTCCTTACTTTAGCACTAAGTTGGTCTTCAGACCTACAGTTTAACTCTTAAAAGAATTTATTTTTCACTTTTAGACTTATTTTTAGGAAGGCAAAGTACACATAGTAAAATATACAAATCTTAAGTACACAGTGAAAAAATTAAAACCATTACTCAAATCACGTTCCTAAGAAGTCTTAGTGCTTTGAGGAATAGTAAAAAGCTGATCCTTTTACTATATTTTGCATTCATTAAAAACCCTTATTTGTAAACTCTTAATCAGCAAACTATAAAACTAGGGAAAATATAGAAAAAAATGACTCTTTCCCCAAGGTATAAAAAGGACAATGGATAGTAGTGCTTCTCAGGTAACATTGAAGGATTGAGGGTTTTTTTTTTTTTGGTTTGTTTGATTTTGGTCAGAAGAATGGGTAATTTTTAATATAAAGGGGTTTCAGATTATAAGGAGTTAATATGGATGATGCTGAATAGTGGCTTATAGGCTCAAATGTGATAAAGTTTGAATTAAAGGAGAGATTTTCATTGAAATATTAGAAAAATCTTTTTGACATTTTGATGCTGAATCTTAAAATGTGAAAGTTGTGTAAAGTCTGTGAATGGTTAGCTTTAAGAAAGAAATAATCTATGTTGGTTTAGCTATTAAATTTGCCTAGAGACAGGTTTGGGCTCATCCTCTTAGTTGAACAAATATAAGATGTTGTGACTTACATCTGATAGCACTAGAACATACACTTGGTCATATCTTGAGTTTGTTTTTGTTTTTGTTTTTTTTGTCTAGAAGATTAAGATTGCGGCTCTGCGCATGTATACTAGCTGTGTGGAGAAAACTGACTTCGAGGAATTCTTTCTAAGTAAGTTACTGTTTTTGATGGTTCTGAAAAGGAAAATGAACCTACTTTTCAAGGGGTGCCTGGCTGGCTCAGTAGATAGAGCATGTGACTCGATCTTGGGGTTGTAAGTTGAGCCCCATGTTGGGTGTAGAGATTACTTAAAAATAAAATCTTAAAAAAAAAGAATCTATTTTTCATTTTTATGACTGTATCTTAGTAGGATAGGTTTTGAGTCACTAGTGAAACAGTTTTTCCTGTACAAAGTGTGTAATAAAAGCTGCTTATTTTTCTCTTTTAATAGAATAAACAACGGCAAAAGAACTCTATAAATAAGACATTTTTAACAAGTTTGAAAAAAGAGGAAACCTAAAAATTTGTCCAGTACTTTGACATTTTTTCCACACATGCATCTTTTTACATACGAATACTCATAGTAAACAAATCCTGTTTATATTCTGGATGTTTTACTTAGCATTTTGACATGAAGTGAACTTTTATGCCAATCATTCCTCTTTTATTTCTAGTTTTTAATTGTTTTTGGTTAGTTCTGGCACATGCGTAATGATTGTTTTCTTTCTGTTGAAGGACAGTTGGGTCAAAAGGTGTGTGTATATATATATATATATATATATATATATACATACATATATATATAATTTTTTATTTATATCCCATTGATAAATTGTTTTCCAAAAGGGTTTTACTGGTTTAGACCACCATTATCAATTGATTACATAAATATAGTATTTATTTTGAAGCTATAAACCGCTTAGTTATAAATAGAGTTAGTTAAAGCAGGTACTTGTGAAGTAATTAGGAAAGTTTAAGCTGTTTCCAGTTCCACAGATTTTGGAAAATAATGTGTGCTGTGCACGTCTGTGGTAACAGCCATTATCCTGCAAGCAACAAACACTTAACTGTATATCTTGATATTTTTCATGGAGAGCAAATATTTATATGGAATTATGTTAAACAAGGAAGATAGCTAGTTGCAGTTTGGATTATTTAATAGCTATTTTGGTTTTTAAAAACCAAATGCAAGTTGTTTTGGTGATTTTACAATTTCAGCAAATTGATGTTATGTTAGGAACTTAAAATACCCTACTGACTTATAATCCTGATTTAGTGTCTACCTTCTGTTTCTTATTTATTCATAGTGACAAAAGAAAACTTTCTTGTTTGTTTTTAATCTCTAAAAACTCCTCATAATACGACAAATTGGTCTGAAAGGAGAAAATATTCTTTATCTACTTGATGAAGAAACTATTCATATTAGAAGCTGGATTTTTAAGTGATTTCTGGATAACATATATGTCCCTCAAATACTTTTCATGAGGTCTTTTTAAAACCTCATCCTCAGATATCTATTTAATATTTGATTCCATAAATAACTCATGAATTTATAATTATTTTGAAATGTTTACTAGTTCTCTTTGTCTTAGTCCTCATTTTGAAGATCCTTGAGTTAGTATTATAGACTGATTAATGAGGTTATTATTACATATTTAAGGTAACATATCATGTTTCAATTTATAAGCTTTTGTAAGCTACTTAAAAATACAAATTTATAAAAATTATTATTACCATTATATGCTAATAATTCACGTTTACATGGTATGCTTTTACACTGTCTCATTAGGAGTTGTAGAACCTTTTAGGGTAGGAAGGCTTGTATTCTTATTTTCATTTCAGAAATAGTTGAAACTTAAGAGACTAAGTAACCTAAAGTTGCTTAGCTAAGGCTTGATCATATGTTGTCTGGCTTAAAGGCCAGGAATTTTTCCACTATAACATATTGCTTATGAATGAATGTAACTGTAAATTAGAAATTGTAATTCATTTTAATATTTTTTGTATGTTGTTGCTTTTAAATGAGAACTACCTCTAGGAGATACTCTATTATTATAAACTGATATATATATATATATATATATATATATATATATATATATTAGAGTTATGTACACCTCAATATTAGACTTATAGCTTGTTCATTTGTATTATGCTCCATTGTGGTCCATCTTTGTCATTTGTGGGTAGATTACATTTTAAAATCAAACCAAGGGGATCCCTGGGTGGCGCAGCGGTTTGGCGCCTGCCTTTGGCCCAGGGCGCGATCCTGGAGACCCGGGATCGAATCCCACGTCGGGCTTCCAGTGCATGGAGCCTGCTTCTCCCTCTGCCTGTGTCTCTGCCTCTCTCTCTCTCTCTGTGACTATCATAAATTAAAAAAAAAAATTAAAATCAAACCAAAGTGGTTCTGAACTGTGGGTAGTAAATAAAAAAGGGAGCCAATCTGAAAAATACCATTTGAAGGCAGAGAAATATCTACAAAATAATGAGACTTTCTTGCATCTTCAAAAAAAAAAAAAGATTCTAAAGAGTAGGCCAGACAGATTTGGGGTAAAAGAAGAGAATATATACATTGTTTCCCAAGATTACACCTTTAAAGTGGCTGTTGCTCCCTTGGAGTTTTGGTATTTTAGGGCTTGACTTTTAGAGTCCAGAGCATTCAGTAAGTTTTTAAAAGGATATAGAGGCTTAGGTAGCTCAGCATTCTCATCCTTACTCTTCCAACAAAAGTGAAGCCAGTGTTAATTCATGAAGGTGTATAAGAATGAGTTTTTTACTCACAGTGTGCTTGTGAGTAAAAAATAGGCCTGTAGTCTCTTGGATAGGCCCCCATAAAATGCCCAAGTTATAGACTCTGTATCATCTCAGAGCTCAAAGGTCTTGATCCAGAGACCTAAACCTTGGGGACTCTGACTGGTGAGATACCTTCACAGCCAGCTTCCTGTTGCTTCCAAGATGTTCTGATATGGTGTATGTCATTTGTAGCATCAGTGAGGATACCCTCTGTGAGCATGCAGTGGCTTGCTTAACTGGGGTTTTTTGGAGATGAGTTTTGTTATGAGGAGCACTTTGGAACAGATGAAGCCAATCAATAAAGTTTGTGTTTAATTCTATACTGAAATTCCATACTGTCTAAAAACTGCTTTGTCTTTAGCTCTTAATACTTTTAGACTTAATACTTTGGAGAGGAGCCTCCTTAATGAATAAGTTCTGAGTCAGTGATTGAGGTTCATCATTTTATTGACATAGTCTTAAATAGTGAGCTATTTAAGATATTTTTAAACCCTAGTGTTTAAATAATTCACACTGAGAAACAACAATAGTAAATATTTATTGAGTACTTATTAAATATTAACTATTTTACTAAACATTTTACAAGCCTTATCTCATTTAATCCTCACAAATACCTATAAGGTAGGTTCTCTTACTCTCCCCATTTTTACAGAGAAGACAGCTGAGGCACTGAGAAAGCTAAATAATTTTACCTAGAGTCACTTAGCAAGTAAGAGATAACAGTCAAGATTTTGAATCGAAAAGTCTGACCCCAGAGCCTGTATTAAACAAACAACTGTGTTGATACTACCACTCCATAACAGTGATGAATTACTTAATTTTTATCCAATGAAAGTACCTAGCCTCAGAAAATAATGCACTGAGCATGTATTGGTACAAGAGTGTGATCTTGACAAAAGACAATAATGGATTTTAACTTAGAAGTGTTTAAACACGGTTCATTGAGCTAAAGATCTGCTATGTTTTTGCAATGCTCATGGTCAGATTCAGTGGTCTTGTTTCTTAGGCCTTCACTCTGTGGGTTTCTGTTCTGATCCCAGTGGGTACAGGGAATCAAAATGCCAGTTCTTTTCCCATCGTTAGCCCTGAGCCGACCCCCAGAATGGAAAATTGTGACCCAGGTCCAACTGCTGGCCTGTCTGTCTGTCTGTGCTTTCCAGCCCAAGAATTGATTCCCTCTCGGAGAAAATTGGAAAGGCTCCTGGAGGCTGCTGAGAAGCTTTGATGTAGAGGTAGCAATTGAACAGATTGTCCTTTAGAAGCAGCCAATTTTCATTTTCCAGATTGAAAGACAGACTTCCAAGAAAACTTTTCTTTTTAATGTTTTGTTCTAGCATCCAAAAAAGACCCAACTTCAGATCTGGGCTTGAGAGTTTCTCATGGCTATTCTTGTTCTAGGTGGAGAGTGGTTGGCCCACTCTCAGATGGCATGTGTCTTAATAGCTGTATGGTTGGCCAGGCCAGCCTTCACCTCCCTCCTGCTGGGTTCCAAGAGGAAGTCCACTTGACAACTGCTGGGCACCTCCCAGTAAGCTCACCAGAGTATTTTGGTGTCACTTTGTGACAGACCTGGACTTAAACTCCAGCCCAACCACTAGCTTGTTATATTGTGGCTGCCCTCAAGTTACTTAGCCTTTTTGAGCCTGTTTCCTCATCTCTAAACTGAGGATTATAATGCCTCCCTTCGGGGTTAAAGTGAGGACTAAGTGAGATAATGTATTGATGTGACTAGCAGTGGACCTGGCAGGAAATATGGGTCCTTAGCGAATGTTAGTTTCTGATATATTAGTATTAGAGAAGCAGTTAGTGATTAAGATTGAAGTGCCTAGGAGCAAGCAGATCTGAATTTGATCCTAGATGTTTCATTTTATAGCTGTGTGAGCTTGGGCAATTGTCATGATCTCTCTGAGAGTCCATTTTCTCACCTGTCATTGAGGTTATTATTAATACCCACCTCACAGGCCTGTTGGTAGGATTCATTGAGCTCGTGCATGTAAGCATCAGTTACAGCGTCTCACACAAAGTAAGCCCGCAAGGAATTAGAGTTCTTTATTATTATTGGTGATGTTAGTGTTCTTCTTCACAGAGGTTCTGCTCTGTGTTTTCTCTCCTAGTGGCCCCAGTTTGTCATCATTTAGTACATTGTATATTTCATTGTTTACTGCAGGGTAAGACAGATTCTACCCAAAGGGCCCAAATTGATCACTGATAGTTACTTTTCTTTGTCCTCTTGCACCAGCTTTTCTTTCTGTTATGTGATAGAAGGGTAAATTTAGTGGGGGGGCCCTCATCTAGCCAGAGGCATTTCGTAGCCATCTGAGAATTGGGAGATATGGATGTCTAAGCATTGACCTGAGTTTTAATATCTTAAGGTTTTGTCATTCTTGGGGGGAGATGAATGGTCTTTCATTAGATGTAATATGTTTTCTTATTCATCTGCAGTTTCCTAGAGTCCCATTTTTTCTCTTGGTCATTTATTTTGGGTGAATCATTCAGCATACCCATGTTCATAGTACACTGAGTTGCCTTAAAGAAGGAAGGTGGGAAAAAGAAACTAGAACTTAGACTTCTCAGTAGAGTTCCAGTGAAAGACACCTATACTTAAGTGGGGTAGGTAAAGTAGTATCTGCCTACCTTTCCAGATGAATTTGAGACCAGAAAGGGAAAATAGCATGTGAGTTGGAAGGAACCATACAGATCATCTAGGCCACATTATACAAACTGAGAAAACCAAGCATCTGAGAAGAAAAGCGATATGCCGAAGGCCTCACAGCAAAGTGGTACCTGGAAGGCATTCAATACCTTTCTTCAGGATTAAAGTGAGGATTATGCATTCTGACTGCATTCAATGCTCTTTCAGTCTGTCATTTTGTCCTGTGGTTCCTCTGGCCCTCTGATGGTCGCATAATCAGAGAGCACTGTAACTGCCAAATATTTGAGTTGAATAGACTCCTACCAATATTTAATATATAGTCAGTATTCCTTCTCTAAACCCTCACATATTTATACTTTATTGTTATTTTCTAGGATGTCAGATGCCTGATACATTCAATTCATGGTTTCTTATAACTCTACTTCATGTCTGGTAAGTGAGCAATTTAAATGAAGTCACCAAATGTATTTTTTTTTTTTTAACACTGTTGACTTGTAAGGTATAGCCTTCGGGGCTGATTATGTAAAATGGCAGTTGTTTAGGCATTAAAAACTGTTCCTTTCATTTTAATAACTAGTGTCTTAAAGCACATTTTTATTAAAGGTCAAAACATAGTCCCAGAAAGAAACTAGTATTTGTAGGCTTTTCTCAAAGAACACCTAACCTAGTGAACAATGCTATCAGTATCTCTAAGAGACTCTCTGAGCTCAGATGGAAAGTTCTCTCCCTTGGCTGTTTTAGGAAAGTTCACATTTACGTAAAAGTGGTTTGAATTGTGAGAATCCGTGGTCATTTTCATTGCTGGTCATCAGAAACCTATAACAAATTACAGCACTGACATTTACGCCTGTACCTCTAAAATGTGCATACAGGTTAGATTCATGCCAGGTTTGTTGCATGTAAAAATATTTAACACCTTAAACAGTATATTTTTTCTTCAGCTGCAAATTAAGTAGCCAAAAAAAAAAAATCAATTTTTCATCTAATGTTACACACAGTATTAAAGGTCAGAAGGATATAGGAGAGACGTTGAAGTGGGGGCTGGGGAATGCATTTATTGAACTGCCAGATCTCGGGAAAGTAAAATCTAGAGAACTAAGTTTACTACTTTGACCATAGTGAGTATCTGAGGAACGTGGGGAATGGTTGCTCTGTCAAAAGGACCCTTGTTTGAGACTGCCTTCAGCTGAGCTTTGCATCACAGGACAGACTACTATATAAAGACTTTTTGGTTTTGATCACCTCTGAAATATTTCTCCTTCTGAACTCTCATAGACACTGAGATTGGCTAAGGGGCATAAGATGGCAACTTATTTTATGTTATTTTTTCTAAGCGGGTACTTCCTTGAGTGCACACTATGTCCTGGGCAGTTTGCTGGGAGCTAACAGTGGTTCTCAAGAAGCTCACAGTCTAATGAGGAGATAAGACATTTACAATAGTGATAAGTCAAAATGGCTAAGTTCTCTAATAAATCTGAGTAAGTAAGTAGTGCCTATGGGATCACAGAGGAAGCCACAACTATCAAAACCTTTACTAGTTTTGTCTATTCTTTGAAATGTACCATGTCTTTTAGGCAGCTGAGAAGGCAGGCTACCTTTTTTCTGAATGGTGAATGTTAAGAAAAGGTTTAGGGAGGGAAGCTGGATATACTGAGAGGAAAACCACTTTTTCAAAAGGAGAGGACTGCAGAGGTGGCACTGCAGAATTACTCACTGGAAAGGTGGGAGGGTTGAGAGGAGGCTAGGCTGTTCCCAGAGGAGCTCAAAGATAATATTCAGAGCTTGTATGAAAGACTCTTTATTACCCATATAGCTAGAGGTATCAGAGTGTTAGAGGGAGTGGATGGCAAAATAAAATATATAATCCTTGTGACCACATCCCAAGGTCAATCCCTGACTAATAGTGGGCAAGAGAACCTTGAAACTACTTATAGTTCTTTCAAGATAGACACCATTTCCAAACATGCCTGCTGTGCCTTCCTTGCTGAGGTTGGTTTTAATTTCTCAGAGGAGTGGGGAGTACTGCTACCAGTTAAGTAGGGGGAGGGAGGCTGTCTGCTTCAGATCTATACTTGGTCTCCCCCCGCCCCCCACCATTCCTCTTTAGTTGTTATGATCTGCAGGCTTTGGTGGAATGAATCAATAGCTTTTCAGTTTGAACCAGAAAATTCTTATTGAGAACTCACTGTAGTTAAGGACTGTGGGGCTTTGGAGAGAAGGGTTTGACATGGGGTGCACCTTAAGAACTTAATCTAGCAAATACCAGGCTGAAAGTACAATTGCCTATAATGGATGACAGTGAAAGAAGTGCTGTGCCCAGGGTACAAACAGATACTATAGGTATGACTAAAACCAAATTTGGTGTTGGGGGCATGGAGAAGAGTATTGGATAAAGAGTGGCTCTGTGGTAGAAGTGACATTGAGATGTACCATGAAGGATGAGTAGAATTTCTGTCAGAGAAAAGGAGGGCATTCTAGGTTGAGGAAATATCAGGAGCAAAACACAGAATATATGTGCAAGGACATGGAGTATTTGAGGACAGCCACTTGTCTGAAGTATCTAAAGCAGGTTTATGGAGGAATTTAATGGTCAGGGTTGCCATAAATGCGGTTTGGTGCCCAACTGTGCTGTCATCCTCCAAGAAGAATTGGGGAAACTTTCTCTTCTAAGCAATAGGGGTATTAGGAGTAATGTATCCACTCCAAATCTATGGAGAAGCTATGTTCTTCCTGCCTTCTTCTCTTAGCTTGACACTCCAGGAGGATAACTGCAGGGTAGCCAAATCCAGTATTACGGGACTAAGTCGACTTGCTAGAGATGTGTAGGGTTGAAATAACTCCTGTAGGTGGTAGTATGAGGGAGAAGTAGAAAGGCTTAGAAAGCAGTTATAAAAGAATCCTCCTCACCCCTCAAGAAAAAAAATAACCCCTAATAAACAGAATACCCTGGCAGTGGACTTTGCAGAAAGCTTGCTTGGGTTCCCAAGGGTGATTGCTCCCAATTGGCTCTTAGAATAGGGACAGGATTTCTCACATCCTTTTAGTTCCCTGGGGGAGGTGTTGATGATTCCCTTATCCTGTCTGCTTTCACCAGTTCTCAAGTTTTTCTGGGTAGTTCCAGTTTCTAGAGGGCCCTTATTTATCAGTTGTGTATTCATGTGAGCCTGCAGCTGCAATGACCATGTGTCCTTTGTCTTTGCTGAACAAGATTAGTTTTGACTGTGGTTGCTGAAAAATTGTTAAGAAAGGTTGCTGTCTGGCTTCCCTGAATCCAAATGTGGACTTAATAAAGGCAGGCCTCCTCCTCTGTTCCCTGTCCTGGACAATGGCACTGCAATCCATTCAGGCGTCCACATCAGAAACCCTTTTATCTGGTCTCAAACTTTTTTTACCATGACCCACAGTAAAAAATAAATTTTACTTTGCAACCCAGAACTCACACATATCTGATACTACAGTTTTGAAAAACTAATCCCTACTAATGTCAGATAATCTGATATTTTCCATTCCATTTGAATTCACTTTAAAGAAAAATTTAAGATGTTACCCATTCAATTGATTTTACTGGGTTATAAGCAGCAGTACCTGGAAACTGGTCTTGGGCCTCCAATTTCCATCTTCATGTGCCATTGGTCTTCTCAATACAAATTGAATCAGTACACACACACACACACACACACACACACACTCCTTAATTATTCTCGGGACAAAGTATGTTTCTTTTTTTTTTTTTAATTTTTATTTATTTATGATAGTCACACAGAGAGAGAGAGAGAGAGGCAGAGACACAGGCAGAGGGAGAAGCAGGCTCCATGCACCGGGAGCCCGATGTGGGATTCGATCCTGGGTCTCCAGGATCGAGCCCTGGGCCAAAGGCAGGCGCCAAACCGCTGCGCCACCCAGGGATCCCCAAAGTATGTTTCTTAGCATGGCATTCATACCCCACTAAATATGCCACCTCTGCTAGTCTCGTATGGTGCTATTCTAGGTACCACTATCATCACCACTTTCTCCTCTGCAAGATAATACAATATTAAATAGTAGAAATATCAAGTCTTCTGTACAAAGTTTTCTTCTGTCCTGAAAGCCCTTCTTCCTCCTCTCCACCTGACAAACTCCTGTTTTTCATTCAGTATCCAACTCAGATATTATTTCTCTTTGAAGCCTTCCCTACCCTTTGAGGGCAAGAGTTAGTTCCTCTTCTATGTTCTCTTAGAATTTTAGAAACCTTGGTCATACAAACATTATTATGTTTTATTGTATCAGTCTTCTTTGTGGATGGTGTATTTATTGAGAGCAAGAATTACTTTTATTATCTTTTCAGAAAGATTTGAGAATGGGGTATTACTTTCCTCAGTTCCTTGTCTTACTCTTAGTTTGTATCAATAATTGTTCATTAAATAACTGAAAGCCCCAGGTTTGACTTGGGCCCCACAGCATTTGGAAAGGTCCTGGTGTTGTCTTTTGGTTGGGTGAGAATGACAGAGCTCTGCTCCTACTTAAGTTTCTCTGGTGGTTACATGTATGTAGCTGGAATTTATGTTGGCTTTAATAGATTTGTTAGAGACTTCTCTTGTAGTCATGAAATACTAATACCTTCTAGATGCAGAAGTTAATTTTAGAAAATGGAATTGGATAAATAAAATTAGAATATGCCTATGATGGAGATGGAATGCAGAGAGTAAATTGCAGTTTGTATTTTTAAATTTAATTTTATTTATTTAATTTTTATTTTGCTTATTTATTTATTTATTTATTTATTTATTTAATTTCATTTTTAAATAATCTATATACCCAATATGGGGGTTGAACTTACAACCCAGAGATCAAGAGTCACATGCAACACAGACTGAGCCAGCCAGGTGCCCCTGCAGTTTGTATTTTTAAAAATTATTTTAAAGTCAGGTGTATCATAAATATAATAATTACTAAGCCTTTTACTACATTATCTTTTATTTATTTTACATATATTTTCTCACACATTCTTACAACTACATTATTTTTATTTCACATATGAGGAATCAGAAGCTTAGAGAAGTCAGAGAACTTGCCCAAACAACTAGTTATAGTACATGGTGGAGAGGAAATTCAAAGTATAGGTCTGGGTAGCTCAAAGTATTAAGTTGCTTTCCTCATTGGTAATTAAAACTACTGAAGTAATAATTAAATAATTGCTTATTAATACTAATATTATTTAATTAATTTACTTTTAAAATAAATATTTATTAATGCTATTTATTATTTGAAGTACCTGCTTATTCTTAAACATAAATCTGTAAATTGTAGAGGCTCCGGCTGGTCTGATCTGTGGAGCATGTGACTCTTGATCTCGGGGTTTTGGGTTTGAAGGCTACATTGTGTGTAGAGATGATTTAAATGTAAAGCATTGCAGGTGTAGGGGTCTAGTGGTTTAATCTTTTTACCAGCTGAGC